GCGGACAGTCCATTACTGCATTTCATTACAATGAATACTTTGTGTTCCGCGACAAACATTTGCGGGCACAATAGCATTCTTTGTGGGAAACAGCAGCGGCACGCTGTAAACAAATTGTACGCAGTATGTCGCGGTGAAACGAGAGTGTATAAACTTCAATTTGCTAATACACGCCGTTTAGTTGCGCGTCGCGACAACGCGGATACGCAGAAATCTCGGCGAAATAATGTTTTTCACCGAAGTCCTAGAAAGTCTCGCCCTAGGAAGTCTTGTATCGCCCTCCCACGCGTCGCAATTGCAACGGATAAATGTGCTATACACTTTCTCTAATCCACTTGAAATTGATTTTAAAGTTATTTTTTAGCGATATATCGGGAAACCGTAATCTCAAGATTTATGGGATGAATATGCATTTAGAAGTGAGGAGGAAACTTTAGATGATCCACGGGATTAAGCGTTCGGTGTCCGTTTTCCCAATTAACCTTCGTAATTTCCCAGTGCAATTATACAACGAGTCTTAATGGCGTCCTCTTCGCTTCGAACGCTGCTGTTTGCTGAAGGCTCGATTGACATTTTCAGGGAACGAAAGATCGGCAGTGTGTTATGCATACACAAATAAATTGACGGTTTGGGATGAGCGGGCAGGAAATTAAAACCCTCAATTAGTGCAACCTTGTAACCTTGTCAGCGAGTTTCTCCTACGGAGATCGATACGGCTCCTACATATATATATACATATACAGCGGCAAGTGGCGCGTTCGCCTTGTCAGGTCTCGTTATTCGGTTATTTCGCCTCGAGAGAAAATAATTAGCTAACGCGAGGAGGGAAAAACCGCGCGGCGACGACATCCAATGGCACCGATATCTATAATTTCCTTGATTTTCTCTCGTCGCGACTCGCCTGATCGTTCTTTAAAACGCGCGGAGTTCGTGCTCGCAGTTCAGCAGAAGTGATCTCCGATCTCACGGAATAAATATCGCACGTGGAACGAGCGAGTCTCTCGGAGAAATTAGAACGTTCTGTATGCCGGAAATAAAGTTTTATATTTACGGTGATTAAATTGGATTCAGTGGGTTCAGCTCTACTCTCGCCGCGGCGAGCGAACTTTAATCCCGACTGCGACTCGGTTTTTCATCCGAGGCTTTAATGTTGCGGAACAGATTTTCTCTCTTTCTTTCTCTCTCTTTCTCTTTATCTCTCGAGGCGGGACGTGAAAGACGGTCCGCGAAGTTCGACTTTTCGCGGCGCGTTGTGCACGTGGTCGATGCCGGCTTACGACTGTTACGGAATTCTTCGACTTTTGCTCTGATTCGGATTTCCGGCCAAGGAGCGGCTGATCCGCGACCTCGCGCGAATCTCCCTCCGTGTGTAAAGGAAGGTCGTATCCTTCATTTAGCATATCGTCGCTCGCAACGAAACCAGGCCAGCCGGCGAACGCGAAGGGCGCACGAATTCATTACGTGGCCCGCTTTCCGAGTCGCGGAATATCTGATCGAAGGCGACCATCCGGCCGGGGCGGAATTATTTCCCGCTTTTTCCACTTGGCCTTCCTCACGGACGTTTGCACGGCTGGCTCTTAACCCGCTTTCACGATCCGCATTCGGCGCGTCTGGGGCGTGCATAACGACGGCTCATTTGCATGTTCTGAACCGGAAGCGATTTGTTCACCGTCGTATTTCGCCTTCGAATGGAAGCGCGAAACTCCCCGGTCAATTTTACGATTCGAATATTTCATTGAGAAATATCTGAGTGAGAGGAAGTATATCGCTATGCCGGCAAATTTTATCGACAAATTTTACGTTGCTCCGATAATAAATCGCGTTAAATGAAAAAAAAAAAACGAAATACAACAGTCGCTTGTCTTTAATAACATTAATATAACGATGCAAGCGTTAATCGTGAACGAGTATAATCAGGAAAACGGACAAAACCGTTGCCAATTCGCTTGATGTATTCTACGCAAGCTCTTTTCGAAATTAGCTTCGTACAAATTAGCTTCGTGCTCGGTGCTTAAACGAGATACAGATGTCCGCCGATGGCGGGTCAATGGGTCTTGCGAGCAGGCGGGCGAGAGCCGGTTTCGATCTCGGTAATTATCGGAAAAGAGGTGGTGATGCACTTAAACGTTTCGAGAGAACGCTCCGGATTCATTCTCGTATCTCCCGCATTTTCGCGCATTACATCACTCCTCAACGTCGGATAAATAACGCGCCTGTTTACGTTTATACTTCATTCTTCGTCGGCGTTTGCCAGTCTGTAATATTGCGTCACGGCTTCGCGAATCACCGATGCGTGTAGACGCTAACGAACTAATTGTTTCGCGGCTATTTTCCCCGCTGCTCCTCGCTCCGGTATCTTTTATCTGTCTCTCTGATCACCTATTCTGTAGCGCGAGACAGCGGCAACGACAACGCTGTAATCGTGCGGCTTTTTCCCCGCGTCTCTAATTTTACTACGAAACGAACTCGAATCTCGCGATAGGCTTATCGCGACGAATAAATATACAAACGTTTTTATACTCCGTTGCGACATAGTAAAAAAAAAAACAAGCAGTTTCCTGATGATAAAATAAAATAAGAGCAAACTCGATATGCTAATTACATCAGTGACGTACGAAAGCACTTTAAGATGAAATGCAAACTGTTTTTCTCGGCGAGCGACTTATCACGTGCAATGTCTTATGTAACATTTACACGCGAGTTTTTTTATCTTGTTACAACATATTTTTTTATCACAACGATTTTAAAGAAACAGCATTCAAATAGATATAAAATTCTCAGATTTAGAGATGAATATCGTGGTTATATTTTCGCAGTAGCAACTGAATAAACTCTTAAACTCGAACGACTTGTATTAAGAGCGCTTTCTTTCATTACACGAAACGCGGATAATCGTTCTTCCGCGTTCATGCATCAACAGGTGAACGATCGTCCTTAGCTCTCAGTAATGCGTGTCCTCTTCCGGGCAATGTCCTCGTACTTCTTTTGATAAGCACCCACCGGGAAACAAGGAGAAAACCCCTTTCCCGTCCCTTCCCCTTTCGTGGTCGGGCGAGATGACGGGATATCCGTGCCTTTGGAGGACGACAGAAGCACGGATGAGGGAGGCAGGGGTCGGGCGGATTGGGGGTGTCGAGAAGGAGACGAGAGAGAGAGACAGAGAGAACAAGAGCTGGCAGAGAGTGCAGTGGGAGAGAAAGAGAGGGAGATAGAACGAGAGAGACAGGCGGGGCCCGATCAATACCCACGGCCAACCCCGTAGTAACGCATAGATTACCTTATTCATACCATATCGCCGCGTGTCCACTGTTTTTTCTACAACCTGTATTTAATGAAGGCTCCGTCGGAAAAGAAAACTCGTTCAGAAGATTTGTGCGCGACCCTACTTACTGATCCTCTCGAGATCCCGCACTTGACCTTATCAGCCCGCGATTCCGGCTTTCCTCGAAAGCCGTACAAATACAGTATCGCAGTTAAAACTGGTATTTTAAAGCGTCGTTTATTTTTAAATTTTATTGCTTCGCACAATACCTATAAACGAAATTCCATTTGCCGTAAATTGTTATCGCTGAGGTTGTTTCAACGTGACGTCGCGCATCGGTGCTCGCGATAGTAGCGCAGCATAAATGCATCTCGCGTGCTGAAGCTTAACGGCACGGTCCGATCCGAGCAATTGAAATCCAATCCGAACCAAATTTATGATCATCATCAACAACGGACACATTCAATAAACAACGGGCGATTTAGCGGACCGACAAATAGTAAAACGCTGCGACATGTACAGTAATTCATTTTCATTTTCCTTATTCAGATGTCGAATTTGTAATTATGCAGACTTACTTATCGGATTATTGTCGAAATTTCTACAAAATATAGTGAAGCGAATCGATTTTAGGATTTTTTTAAGATTGTTCTATATTAAAATTTCGTAACATTGATCGTTCTTTTGATCAGAAATGTTTTTGGGTACATAATTGTGAATCTACATGAATATATTCTTATACGATTATGTACATATTTAAATAACGAACAAATAATTATATTTACTAGATAGGATATTGCAGTTTGCTCTATTCACCACAGATTTGCTTTAGTTAGGCATCACTGAATCGAAGTCTATTCATGCGCTTTAGTTTCGAAATTATGGATTTGCTTCGTCGCAATATACGAAACACAAACGCGAGATGAAACATTTTATGATGCAATCATAAATTATAAATAGCTGTGGATTATTCAAGTAATTGAATACGGATAATTATTAATAAATATTATAATGGAATTACAGTGAGGAAAAGTATAATGCACCGATACTTTTTTTAGTTACTGAAATGTTTATACCTACATGATGTGAATTATATTTAAACGGTTCGATAAAATGTTTTCTATAAAAATGAATGAATATCAATTGTTGCAAAGATATTGTTCAATAATCATGGTTTTTTTGTTTCATCAATGAACTCTGCATTTAAAACCGTACTTTGACAATTTGCTTTTTTGCAAAAAAACGATAATTGAATGATTGAATTTATTAACAAAATAAAAAATATTTTAACGTACATTGATACATTTATGTATATCAAATTATACGTGGAACATTACATTCTCACAATTTTTATTTTATTTTTTAAATGTTTGATTGCTAAGCTTAATATTTTACAGTTTATATATATTTCTAAAATCTATTATTCTATGATATATAAAAATGCTAAATGTATAATTTATAATTAAAAATGTATAATTTCTCAAATTTTGTAAGAGTTTATGATTTTTGAGAGTAATAAATCACATACATAACGTGTATAAAATTTAAAATTTTTTATTATAAAGATAGGTAACAAGTAATTATATGTTTTATTATTTATTTATAAACATACAGGTTGTAGATGAGAATATGATTGTCAAAATGCGGTTTTTAGCAATTATATGAAAGATGAAGAAAATAATAGCGAATAATATCAGCATTTCATATAATTATGCATTTTTATAATAGATTTACTCACTCATTCGTTGTACCTTAGCTAATACACTCTCAGGTGTATCTGGAAAAATAAATATACAACTTTAATTATTATAAATTATTATTTTATATATTTTATTTATATATTGATTATGACGTATTATTTAATTATTTCCATTTTGATTAAAACATAATTATACAATAAATTGCATATATAATTATTTAAAAATTTATTTGCATATTCAATTAATGTTTTAATAAATATTTAAAAAGATTTTAATAAATATTTAACAAATACATAACTGTCAATATGTTTGTGTTATAAATATGTATATATTTAAATAATAATGTAATAATTATACTCACCAGCTCAGGTATTGCTCCATTCACTGCAGATTTTGCCTCAGATTGCTTCGCATCAGCTGCATCGAAGAATCGATGAATACTAGAGATCCGCATTTATGTAGCTACATATGTGCACTGCTGAACGAAGGTTAACTCGCATACTTCACTATCGAAAATCACGGATTTACGTCACGAATTTCCGATACATAAAACGTAAACGCGAGGTAAAACGACTTGGTGCCGCAACGCGTTTATATAAGTAGCCGATATTATCACCTTACATATTTAACGGAATTTCGACACTGTACACGCACTCGGAGCGAGCGAGATAAATAATGATTGTTTGGTGGTTGTAAAAAGATTCCTCGACAGCACAGCTACACACACAATACAATTTTTACCCGATATAATTCCGACCAGCTAAATATTCAACATGTTTGTCAAAAAATATACTGTGTTTTAATCATTGTGTATTGTAATTTGTACTCACTCGGGTTGTACCTAACCATTTTCATCTTGTTATGCTACCAGCGAATCGCTCTGAATCGTAAACATCCGCGGTAAACAATACATTCCGGTAATCGCCCGTTGCATTAATCGACACTTCCGATAGAAATTTACACTTCTCATATTTTTAATTGATAAAATTACTTAATTAATCGCAATTAATCGCGGAGTGTGTCTGTGTTCCGCGTTCGAAGAGGTAATGGAGACTGTAATGGCGGCCAATGGTAGCGCGTACAACTTCGATTGACAGTATTGCCACCGTAGAAATTTATCAATATTGATATTTTCGCCACTGGCGCGCCACTTTACAGTCGCCATGACAGTCTCTTTTACATCGCTTCGGATTGTATGTGGGTTCCTGAATAAATCGCGTAATTTACCAATTAAAAATACGAAAGAAATACGAATTTTTGTCGGGAGTGCTGCTTAAAGTAACGGGCGATCACCGGAATGTATTATTTACTGTGGACGTTCGCGATAAACGCCGCTTCGTCGCTGGATGCATCGAAGCCGATACAATCCGAGTGAGTACAGATTTCATTGTCACGGACACAATGTCTATATTGGCTCAGGTGGTTCAAAGCGTGTGTTCTCATGTTTACATTTCGCGCAATTTCGCGTATTACAGCAAGTTCGCGACATGAATCTATAATTTTCAGAAGTGAGGTTATGGATCGGCTTCCGACGGTTAGAAAGCATATTATCTGCAGCGAAGTTGAGCAAACTGCGATAATCTAGTTGGTGAATACACTTATTTGTTTCAATATGCGCGTAATTATGATATATATTACATTGCCAGTATTTCAAATATAAGAAATACATAAATATATGTATGTATAAGTCTTGCTATCTGAGCATCTTTTTTGTTGCTATTTTTTAATTATGAGCAATTTTTCTGACACATGGGAGCTTCTGTGATATTTCATAATCTCGCTATTTTTATTATTTTTATTGTCATCATAATTATGTCATCTTTGTATTTTTGTACGTAACCATTATTTCTCACGAAATAATATAAAAGGCATCTCGTTTTATGTCGCCGACTTGAATCGAATAAGAAATTTATAGTAAATCTTCCGACAGAATTAACTAAGTGGGAAAAGGTCGAGGTTATCCGTGGTAATCCGCAGAAGGAAACGTGTTATTTCTCCTTGTAGTAAAAGGGTTTACGCATCCCTGTGGGAAAGACGTCACGATCTTCATGCATCAGTGTGCGTTTTACATAAGATAAATAAAGCACCGTTGCGTCATAAGGATAGAGATTGCTGCGAGCAGGGCTAAACGCGAAGTATCAACGGAATTATGAGAAGTAAGAACATAGTAGTTTTGTTATCGTGATTAATGACGCGATTAACATTTTACTGTCGACTCCTTAGAACAAGAACTTTAAGTATAACTCTAACTTTTTATGATTTAATTTATCATAATTTTAGGAATATGAGGTAATATTAAATGCACTAAATATATTTAATATAAAATTTGTTGCAAGTTCTGTTTCTGCAAGAGTTTCATACACAATCTATTTTGATAGACTATAAAAGTTATACAAAAACATAGCAATTATCATATATTATCATGTTTTATCTTTTCTGCTTCAATAATTCACATATAAATAATGTTATCAAATTTATTCTTATATTTCTTGCATAACTTTGCATGAAGTCACTCGTAAACATAAATTATACGTGACACATATTTTATTTAATGTATGCGGCATAAATATATTATGAGGAATTTCGTAAAAAAATTTCATCATAATTCAACTTAAACAAGAAAAACAGAATTAAACTGCAATATTCGACGTCGGTTAGGTCAGTTAGGTTAGATTCTTCTTTTTTCTTGTACGTTATAATTCACTAACTAACATGTTACGTTAGTTTATCATGCGCAACAGTTTTAGGAATATGAATTGATAAGAAAGCCAAAGATGTATCGTTTTAAAGGGTCCTTCAGAACGACCCATCCTTCGGGATCTCGAGAACGTCTCGCTCTATTGACACTTCCTTGCCGGGAACGGGAGTTCGACGAACTCAAGTTTCCTGCATGCTCGGGGAAACTCGAGATTGCGTCCGTCCGGTCGTCCGCCATAAATTTTTCATTCGGTTCACTCGCAACTTCCACCGCTCGCGTCCATATTTCCTGGATCAATTCACCTTCCCCCGCTAAGTTCCCGTTACCGTGTCGTCGATGCGCTCGCGTTTACGCGCTTACACGATAAAAAGTTTACGATGCTCCCTTTGCATACAGCTCTCACATCGCTCTCTCGATACAACGATCCTTCGGGAGGTCGGGGATAATGGAAGCATCGTCCGTGACGACTATCGGCGATGTTATGTACATGTCATTTCACGATACTTTTGATTACTGAGGGAAAAAGCTTATGTACGAAACGTAGATATAAAGGAAATGTTGGAAATGTAGAAAAGTCGGTTTTCAAAGTATACATCTATTACATTTTTGCTGATGATCTTTCTTTTTATTTATATATTTGTGTTTATTATTTTATTTTATATATATCATTGCGATAATCATAATATATAAAGAGTATACAGAAAGCAGAACCGATCGATATTTATATTTTCTGTTTTACAATTCATTTTTATGTCACTGTGAACGTTACATACATACGTTTTGTATCGCGCCCACGCTGGGATAATCATTGAGGATAAATCCCTTTTATATTTATGCGCATCTACCGCTTTACACGAAAAATATCTTATGGATACGAATGTCTCAACCGTACGGTCGGGATATCATTATTTTAAAAGCTGCAAGATTTATTCTAATCTTATGTGGGTCGAAAGAGTGAATTAATAAGCTTGCAAAAGCTGTTTTGTAATTTTCGGCAACTATTAGAATTCGGAAATAATTCTATAACAAAGTTTTTATCTTGTATTATAAAATTCTGATTCGTGTGCATCCGTGATGAGATTGTGTCGGCAGTTGGATAATAGTTGAATAAGCATCCACATAACAACATCCGCCCTTTATTACGCGTTTTACCTCGCTCCTTGATCGTCCTTGGATACACCTTTGCTATAAATACGGGCGATCAATTTGTCTCTTAACGTGGAAAGGGCGTGCATCTCGCGCTCGCTCGCTCGCTCGCTCGCTCGCTCGTCCGCCCGCCTGCTTGCTTAGTAGTGCCGGAGACTACCGTTCCTTACTCTCTTGCCCTCCGCGCGTTCTTTTCTTCCATTCTGCCTGCTGCACGAGTAGCTCGTACGAGAGCGGCCTCGAGGACCACTCTCGCGTTTTCCCCACGCCCTCTCCCTCGAGTGCAGGCTATTTTTCTTTATTGCACAGCCGGGCCTTCGCATCTTAGTTACGTGTCACTGCCCCCGCAACGACCACGAGCGTCGGTTCCGACAGGTCTCCTCGGGATAACGTCTCGCTCGGGCACCTTCGATTCCTATTATAGTAGGAATGCGATCGACATTGTCAGATTATATTCACATTTTCATTATTTATTTCTATCGGTTTTCCGAGACGATAAAGTTTGAAATTGTTATTACGCTTTTCCATTAACTCTTTCTCTTTCTCAATTCCCGAAGTACAGCTAATTTGATTCTAGCGAAAATAAATTCCGACCACCGCGGTATCGAACATCGATGCTAATTATCATCGCAGCGTGCACACGGAGACGATTATTTTGCGAAATGGAAACACGTGCGCGCTGAATTGGAATAGGTATTATCCCGAAATATAGCTAATCTGACTGTGTAATGAAAACAAAATTTGACTGTCTCGGGCGTCGATGCCAATCATCGTCTACGCGCCGTACACGTGAAGACGATTATTTTGCGAAATGGAAACGCGCGTGGAATCGTAATAGTTATTACGACTCAGACGGCATTACGCCGTCATATGATCGCGCGAGCGAGCACACGTGTGCATAATGCACACCAAATGTTACCAAATGTTCATTGGTTGAATTAGCACTTTTATTGCCCGGATTTTTTTTCGTCCTCAAGGATGTCGAATTTTAGTGGAAAAACATCCTGTGTTTCGGCGAACGCCCGAGTTTTCCTGCGTCAATAAATTCTATTTGTAATTAAAAAGTTCGGAGATATGATGCATATAAAATGGACTGACCTACGTCAATATAAGTTTATTCACAAAGATTATTTCATCTTAATATGTTTAATACATGTGAAGATAATTTCTAAATTTATTTTTTAAAACCATTCAATTTGAATAAATTAATAAAAATTTATTACAAACAGTTGTAATATGTGCGTATTGATAGTGTGTATTCATAGTAATTCAATGTTTCAAGTGAGTTACATGTTTTAGAGTGCAGTTTCACAATTTTTATATTGAATATACGATATGACAAAACATTATATATTGATGCAAAAATCATATTTGCCAAGATAGAAATGGTTGGCACGCGTCTAAAATGGAGCACTATTTATTGAACTTTATTAGATAAATGTACCGCTTGGGAGAATGTTGAGTAAAACACATTTACTTCGAAAACTCGCATTTTTTCCGTTGTTATCGTCATATTAATCCCCCTTTCATACGTCCGACGGTGAAAGGTCACCGCTCAATTTACACGAAAGTGTCGCACCCTTGCCAAGTTCGGTTTCGGAGAGGAAACGTCACGAAAATTGAATTGGCTCCCTCCCCTCTCCCCGGCACCGGTCCACGTTTCGCCATTTCCGACGTTTCCTCGTGTCCAGACGGATTAATGCCTCGGAAAATCGAGGATCCGCGCCTGAGAAAACCGGATATCCCCGCGTCATCTTTAGGCGACTCACCTCTCGCTCTTTCGGCGTTATCTTCTATTCGATATTGAGGCGTTTTCGCGAACCCATCGCGACAATTCGCACTTGTATTTGTTAGAAAATTCCAGACACGTTTCGCAAGATTTCAGAAATAAGTAAGAATATTAATATTTTTAAAATACTAACGTATAATATAATTAATAATCACAGAGATATCAATGTTACAACGTTAAATTCATCATCCAGATATTTTTAATATATAGTATCTCATTAGCATACAAAGCTCTGCGTCTCGTGACGATCTACGTGTAACTTGATACACACGATCGCGGAAATAGCGGTGCGCATGTTGATCGAGGAAGAAGGCCCGAAGACTAAATTATTTTTCGTTCTTGCGAGCCACGTGATTAATCATCCTCATGCTGAGAACAGGAGGGGGGGGGGGA